ACAATTCACTTTGTCAAGGGTATGATTTCATAATACTTCATTTTGCCTAATGTCTTCATTGGGGAGTGCAGTGACAGGACAAGGGGTAACGGTTTTAAATTGAAAGAGGGTAGATTTAGATTAGATATAAGGAAAAAATTCTTTACTGTGGGGGTAGTGAGACACTGAAACGAGTTGCCCAGAGAGGTTGTGGGTGCCCCCTCCATGGAATTGTTCAAGGTCAGGTTGGATGGGCCTGTGAGAAACCTGGTCTAGTGAAAGGTGTCCCTGCCCATGGCAGGGGGGCTGGAACTAGATGAACTTTAAGGTCCCTTCCAACCCAAACCATTCTATGATTCTATGATTCTATGAAATATCTTCAACTTTTTACTTGAGAGACTATGTAAGGATAGGACAAGATTACTGATGTGAAGTTGTGTAGTAGTTCCTGGTTAAATATGGTTATCAGCTGGGTCCTGCTCAGTACAGTTTGAGGAAATGGCAGTCTAAAAGGTTGTTATATTTCAGAAGCTATTCTGAATAATTTATTGCCACTGCATACTGAACTAGCTGCAAGCACAAAGAGAGTATGTAGACTTGAATTAAACAAGCAAGGAAGAATGGCTCAAGATACCACTTCAGAGTTGTCAGTAAAACATCTGGACAGAACAAAATAAACAATTATAGAATCATAGAATTCCTTAGGTTGACACCTTTAAGATCATCAAGTCCAACCTTTAACCTAACATTGCCAAGTCTACCAGTAAAACAAGGTGCTAAGTGCCACATCTACATGTCTTTTGAATGCCTCTGGTGATGGTGTCTCAACCGCTTTCCTGGGCAGCCTGTTCCAATGCTTGACAACCACTGCAGTGAAGAAATTTTCCCTAATATTGTTTAAACCTCCCCTGGTGCAACTTGAGGCCATTTCCTCTTGTCCTGTCACTTATTACTTGGCAGAAGAGACTGACACCCACCTCGCTACAACCTCCTTTCGGGTAGTTGTAGGGAGCGATAAGGTCTCCCCTCAGCCTCTGTTTCTCCAAGCTAAACAAGCCCAGTTCCCTAAGCCACTTGTCATAAGACTTTTGCTCTGGATTCTTCACCAGTTGTGTTGCCCTCTGGACACGCTCCAGCACCTCAATGTCTTTCTTGCAGTGAGGGGCCCAAAACTGAACACAGGGTTCAAGGTGCAGCCTCACCAGTGCCAAGTACAGGGGGACGATCCCTTCCTTAGCCCTGCTGGCCACACTAGTTCTGACACAAGCCAGGATGCTGGTGGCCTTCTTGGCCACCCGGGCACACTGACAGCTCATTCTCAGCCGGCTGCCCACCAACACCCCCAGGTCCTTTCCCACCAGGCAGCTTTCCAGCCACTCTGCCCCAAGCCCGGAGCATTGCGTGGGGTTGTTGTGACCCAAGTGCAGGACCCAGCGCTGAGCCTTGTTGAACCTCATACAATTGGCCTCAGCCCACTGATCCAGCCTGTCCAGATCCCTCTGTAGAGCCTTCCTTCCCTCGAGCAGATCAACACTCCCACCCAACTTGGTGTCATCTGCAAACTCACTGGGGGTGCACTTGATCCCCTCATCCAGATAACTGATAAAGATACTAAACAGAACTGGCCCTAATACTGAGCCCTGAGAAACACCACTTGCAACCAGCCTCCAGCTGGATTTAACTCCATTCATCACAACTCTTTGGGCTTGGCCATCCAGTCAGTTTTTTACCCAGTGAAGAGTACAGCCACCCAAGCCATAAGCAGCCACTTTCTCCATTAGAATGCTGTGGGAAACAGTGTCAAAGGCTTTACTAAAGTCCAGGTAGTCAACATCAGTGGCCTTTCCCTCATTCACTAAGTGGGTCACCTTGCCATGGAAGAAGATCAGGTCAGTCAAGCAGGTCCTGAATATTAGAAGGATGAGCGATGTAAAAAAATTCCCATTCAAGATAGAAGGGGAGTTTTACAAAGCGGGTGGGTAGAGAAGACACATGTATAATGAGGGTACAGAAGTTCACTGATGTGTTTAAGGAAGTGCAGTCTTAGTGATGATGTTACCCAGATCACCGTCCCAAAATGAGAAATAACACGAAAAATATTTCAGAGATGTATATAGACTTGGTTTTAAATTTTTAAAATTTTTCTTCCCCAGTTGAAAGAAATGTTATTTTTAGTTTAAGAACTCTATTTGGGCATTAAATGTACCACTGATTACAGAATCCTGACAACGAAAAAAATGTTGGCAAATTTAGATTTGATGAGAAAGCACAAGAAATATATACGGGACTGGTTTAAGGGTGAAAACTCAGGGACCATACTGAATTCATAAATTGAACAGAAGTATTGTGTATCTTGTACCACTCAGAACAGGAAGATGCTGTATGGGTTTGGAAAAAAAAAAAAAAGAGCTTTTTTTATTTTAATGGGCACCATTGTATGAATTGTTTTCAGCAGAGTTTCTTCCGCTTGTAACGGGGTTGGCAGCATACACAAGTTGTATTTTTTTTTCCAGTTTTCCTCTACTTGTTTACTGTTTATTTTACTCAGAGATTTGTCTCTGCTTATTAATTAGAATGAAACAAGAAGTTCAACAATTATGACTTAAATGCATGTAACAACTATTTAGGAGGAGATTCAGACAGTGGCATTGCTTGGGGTGACTGCCTGCAAGGGCCAGTACTCCCCAGCCTGGACAAGGTGACAGCCTTTCCTTCTTTCTATACATAAAATAGGAGATTTGCAGCCAGTAACAAGTACATTTACTTAGGAATGCCCCTGCAGGGTAGATCTTAATCACTATTTCGATGCAAACTTTAGTAGGGATTTAGCCAGGATCTCTGTCAGGGTGCTATATGTGATAGCCTGTATCTATATGGCCGAGGTGATTTGTTTGTTATGCTATTTTTATTCTAAGGCTTAGCAGTAATGGTTGCTTTTGACAACACTTTTACGCCATGCTGTCTTTATTTAGTTAATTTCTTTCCACTATAAAGACATTTTTCCACAGCCTCATTTCTAAATAATAGAAATAAGTAACTTGATAATGAGATACATTTGCTTCAACCAGAATCATGGGGAGAGTTTTTAGTCTGAATAGTAATGCATGACTGCTGCTAAAATTTGAGAGACAAGAAAAAACTTTTTTTTTTTTTTTTTAATTCTTGGAGGCTGTCCTAGAATGATACATACTTATTTACATAGAAAAAAAAAAATCAGAACCAGGACTGCATCATTGCATCTGTACAGTTTTTGAAATGTTTTGACACATTCGCTGAGATTTACTAGGTAATTTCACATGCTTGTCTGGCAATTTATAATCCATTATTTTGCACTACAGGTTTCATCCTTGAGTTTATTTTATGGCGTAGACATAAAGTAAACTAAATGACAACAGCCCCCACCCTCTCCCTTTTATCTTTGGGAATGACCTTCAGTAAACAGAATCCCAGGGATGTTGCGCATGCATTTTGATATATATTTATATTAATGGGAATGTTTCTGAGTAAATGAGGAAGCAAGACTTGGATTAGAGTAGTGTAACAATGTAATTATTTAATAAACCACGTGTCACAAGAATCAGGGTTTGTATTGCATCAAAAAGCGCCCTGTTTTGGAACCATCTTTGGGCCTTGGTTTTCTAATATTAGCTGCTGAGAAAAAGTTATAAAAATCTAGCTTATATCTCCGTGAGCTAATGACTTTCCACAGTAAAGTTGGGATATGTATGAAATAAAGCACACAACTCCCATTCAGTTAAGGGCAGAATTAGTCCCCCCAGATTGGAGATAGATTAGTATTAAAAGAGAGAAGTAATTAAGTATTGTATATTATAATTGTGATGTTAATATGGGCATTATAGTTCGAATTATATTTTTTTCATTTAATCAGAAATCAGTGAGGCAACTCTGTCTTATAAGCACTAGAAGAAAAAGGAGAACTGCAGATAGAGAAAAATAAAACACAGTGGGTAAAAGACTAGGGCTCCATCCTGATTTTCAAGGCGTAGAGCAGATTTACATAGAAAATAACTTTTAAAAGATGGAGGAGGAGAAGAGAGAGGAAGGAAAGGTATGCCTGACCTTCTGTTTAAGATTAATTTGAGCTGCAAGGTCAGGAACTTTGGAATTTTAAGGGTTTGTTTTGCCCACTATTTAGAGTCACTTTGTATTTTTGTTCTAGAGCTGAACTTCTCCAATGATAAACATGTTTAGCTCCAGGCATTCAGTTTGCCACCAGCTGGGAACAGGGGGAAAGCCTTGCTTATTCTTCAGGCTAGTGAGAACTCACTTGGAAAGCTGCTGTTCCTCCAGTTCCAAAAAACACAGATAATTTACTCAACCCTTTTTTTCTGGAAAGGGTATAGTTGGATGATTCTTATTACAGAGTGTTTGTTATTTTCTCCTAAATCTTCTTATGTTTTCATTTTGGACATTGGTCTATAGAGTATTGTGATGAGTATACAAAAAACCCTATTTACTTTATTTTGTTACTGACCAGATTGACGCCTGTCCTTCATATTATTTTAGTGAAATAAGAATACAGGAAACAGTGGTATTTAGCAGAAGCAGTGCTGTGGGTTAGATGACACAGTGCTAGAGTGCCACTACACTAAAAAAGGCAATTTTTCGGCATGAAGAAATATGCTCTGCTCTCGGAGTAAACCTGAGCAGCTCTATCCCTTCAGAACAGTCCATAGACTCAGGGAGTATATGCTATACGTGGCATGATATATGATCTTGTAGGGACAGGGGAAACCAAGCCAGTGTTCCCATTTTAAAAAAGCAAAGGAAAACAGAATAAGAAAGTTTGAAGTTCAGGCTAATAGAAATGTGGCCAATCGGAAGTAACATATTCGTCTAATGTAAAAACCTAGCATACTTTTACTGTAGGTTTATATTATTAATTATGTAATTTAGATAAATTATAACTGTATAACAATTCGTGCAACTCCTCCTGTAACCACCTTAAATGATACCACTTGTTTAAAATACACTTGGAACAAAAGAGTAGCTTGTATTACCTCCAGCTCCATGTGGTTTTCTTCCTTGTCATGGTCCTTCAATTCCTTTTCAGAATGATCATCGCAGTCTTCTAAATGACAGATGTGTTGATATTTAGTAACTTCATGTTTATCTTGCTTTCTTTGAGAAATGTTCCTTCTATGAAGACCATTGAAAAATGCCTCATACAGTGGCAGTTCTGTAAACACATCATCATCATCTCTACCATCTGCTTCTTCCTCTTCAGATGAAAAATCTTCTGCTTCTCCTGCCTCGCAAATATGGAGTTTAGGATTAGCTTCATGTGATAAAAATTCAAAATCAGAAAATGTGATAGCACTTGGTATGTGTTTTATGACTCTGATCTCATGACTCCTTTCTGATTTATTGTCTGATTTTTTTCCTGTAAGGACTGGCCATTCTGTGTGCAAGGGAAGGTTTAAAGGATCTTCCTTTGGCTTGTGCCTTGCAGAACAGAGTAATTCTTCAGAAAGGTGCTTTGTCTCAGACTGATCAATGGCACTGACACACCCTGCAGCTGTGCCAGGTTGCAAGGGTGTCTCACTGTGGTCTAATAAGGATGATGCAGGCAGCAAACTCAACTCAGGTTCCAGTAAAACATTCTGAAATTCAGATGGACTTGCCTGGTTTTCTATCTTTCTTTGGTATTCTTCATACTTTGCTTCCTTTGGAGTCCCCAGGCACTTGGCAGATGTAAGATAAGGTGAGCCCTGTTCTTCTTCATAGATGTTAGTTTCCATTCCAGTGAGTTTCATCCATCAGAGATCAAATGACTTCATTCTTAGTATTTTTAAGAAACGTAACTTTGCATACGTAGTCAGGAAATATCTTCTTATTTTTCCAAAACCATGATCACACAATCATTTTTAATGCCTGGATTATCATACAAAACATCTGAATCCTCTCTGCTCCTGAAAAAAAAAAAAAAAAAATTGTAACATGCTTGCATTGGAGTGCATTATCAAAAGTAATTTTGAAACATGAAATTCCCATATCAAATTTACTTGTAGGTCTCTTCAAAAATTATTGATGTATGCAGATTATATGAACTTAAAACATGAGAAGCTTGACTTGTATACCTGAGAGGTTAGGGAATAACTGGCAAATGCAGAAGTGGTTTTTAAATATTGCCTTTATGCTGATTTTTGACATAATGGTTCAGAATCATTCAAAGTGATTGTAGTTATATGCTTGTTAGCAAAACATGTTTCTGTTTCCTATATTTTTATTGTCTGTTAAATCACTGAAAACTTTCACGCTGTTCTGATAAAGCTACTAAAATGTCATAGGGAAGAGCAAGGAGGCAAAGTAATTTACAGAAAAGAGAGATGATTTCAATATAGGTAGAATTTTCTGTCTCAGCTTCTGTGAATTGCCAATGCGGTGCAGCACCAGTCCATTTCCAATAAATTTGCAAAGCAGAGAATCTAAAAATAACAGAGGGCTTTAGTACCACAGCGGAGTTGGCCAGATCTGTTTTAAATCAGCCATAACTTCTGTGCTCACATCTAGGCTGTACACCTCCAACGCATGGGAAGAAGGGCGTAGCTGAAGAACTGATCTTGCATCACTAAATAGCTTACATTCACCCGTATATGTAATTTACTTTTTGTGACAGATTGAATATTGATAGTACTTATTTTAATGATTGTTTCAGTACTCCATCTGTGAGAGAGCAAAGAGGAACGGAAGCTTTTCAAAATAAAGAGAAGCTTAAGCCTTTGATGTATGTGGCAAACCTGTCAGTGATGAGGAAGACATGTCAGAGGCAGCACTGTGATTGTCAAAGTGGGAAGCAAGCAAAGACGCTGGCATGTGATGTGCCTCTCACTGCATGTGCCACAAACTGAGCAATGCACACCATCTAGGCATATTTTAGTGCCGGTTAGCATATATTTCAGTGTTACAAACATACATTGGGTAATAGAAAGAATACTGTTACACGTGGAGAAATTTTGGATTTATTATATTACCTTTGTCATTTGAACTGCAGCTGTAAGAGGTGTGAGCATGCACGTACACACTGTTTAGGTAGACCTCCTCTCAGCTATTGCTAGCTATTTAAAAGTCGGAGATTATTGTAAGCTGTCTAGCCTCCTGCTGGAGTCAGTGGAGAGAGAAAAATGCTTCCAGAAGGTAAATGCTCTCACTTGGATACCTATTTTGACATGGGATGAGTCTCTCTCCTGGCCTGACCGCCTTATCCAAAACTAAGGAGGGTGTCTAGACAAGAAGCTCACACTGGCCACCTAGATTTAGAGGGACAAATAAAGGTAAGAAGAGTTGCAGCCGTACCTTTCTTACACAATAATAAGAGATCACATTGTCTACGTGTGAATGAGAAACCTACTTTGGAAGCCCTCATTTTCTCACTAGCTTCAAGTTAGCCATCTACACAGAGGTGATTTCACTTTCAGAAGTGCTGAACACCCTTCGTTCTCCTTAACATTACCTGAACTTATGGAACACAATGTCTTTGAAAAAAGAAAACGCATCCCCACATTTGTAGGGAATGATTGAAACAACTAATATTTCACATAATATTTTTGTACATTGTGGGCGCAGTGAAAAAGCCTCAGGCCACTTTGGGTGAATATTATTATCTGTGCTTCACTATGAGCCATCACCTTTGTTTTTGAGTCCCTGGCACCCAGTACCCTGCCAGAAGGCATGCTGCTAGCACCCACACTTGCACCATACAAGGCCAGGTGTAAGCGAAGAAGATTTACCTATTCTAGAAGACTGTTGCCATCAGGTGAGAGGATGGGTTGTGTTCACCAGCCACTGCTGCTGGTGGCTGCCCTGTTCCTCACCTGTGGGTAGTTCCAGCAGGAGTAGCAGTGCTCAGGTCTCCACATCTCCTCCACAGACTCTCTTTCCAGGCCTCACCCCTTCCTATTGTCACTCTTCCTTCTCTGGCAGAAATTACCCATCTTTGGCATGTTCCCTGGGCCCTCTTTAGTCCTGGTAATGCTGCCCAGCACGTTCTGCTGTGATGACATCTGCGGGAATACACCTCTGTGTTCATGGGAACATCTTTGCTGTAACAAACCCAAAATACAGCAAAAAAATGCTCCAGAAGAAGCTACAGAAATTGTGCAGCAGGCAAGCATGGGATAAGTGAATTACACATTTTTTATTTCTCGTATTTTAGGATGATGCTTTAGATTCTAAAACATGAATTATCATCCCTGCAAATATCTGTATATTCCTAGCATCTAAAATCAGTACCCAGCTTCTTTTAAAATTTTGCCAAGTTCTTCCTCTCAAATTAATTTTGTTTTTTACAGGAAGTGGTGTAAAGCTGCAGTTTTTACAATTTCCTTACAAAAGGCATGAAAGAGGTTTTCTGTTTATTAGATTTGCTTACTCCATTGAGCTATTTTTTTTATTTTTCCTGGGATGAGACTGGAACAAAGAAAGTATGCAAAAGCAGACTGATTTTGTGCAAGTATGGCAAGAAATCTCTGAAGAGGAAGTGGTTAGAAGAGGGAGTGTGAGTTTACCCTTATTCATCCTGTGGAACATATCTCTTTACTCAATCTAGCAGTGACTGGAAAAAACCCCACAGTTTTTTGCAAAATATCAAATTCCATATTTTATAAGGAGTTACACACAGACATTTATAGCTCCTAAAAATGGAGCATTTTTGGCAGAGCTGTGGATTTGGAAATCCTGCCCATAGCAAAATGTGTAACTCAGAGAGGACTGAATATTCAGAGCTAAATCTGTACATGTTGTAAAAGGCCTGTAACACAGCCCTGAAAAACTATCATTCTCACCACAGTTCTGAATGTATGCACTTAGAAGTTCTGAAAATTAATAATCTTTCTGGAAATGGCCTTCAAGGCTTTATAAATAGGGAAACTACTTTCATATGCATACATAATTCTAAATATATATTGTAGAATTAGCTCTAGGGGTAGGCGCTAGTGTAGGTAAAGTTGTTGAATAATAAAAGTCTCTTGGGCACACATGTGTGTTTTTTCCAACCAAAAAAGGGTATGTAGGGCTACCACAGTTAACTATCTAACCAAAACTGACACCAAAACAGGTTAAAGGAAAAGCACAAAAAAGCAACACAGGATTTTTTTTTTTTTAAGAAAAAATGTGAAATTCATATCTGGGTGTAGAAACTTCAGCTTTTTATACACATGAGCTTAAAATTTGCAACCTGAATTTTATTTGTTAAGGAAAGCTCCTTGCAAATCAGGAATAAATTAATACAGATTTGTGATGCAGCTAATGAAATGCTACGGAAGGAAAGTTCTCATATGCTCTGGCACAAGCAAAACTGTATGTACAGACTCACAGATAAATTTTTGTGCATCATGCTCTATTGGCTTTTTCCCCTTTGCCCAGACAACCAAAATTTGTGTTAAAACTCACCAAATTTTGCATAAAGATCACACAAAAAGCACATATTAGGCTTAACCATTAAATAAGAAGATTATACAGAGCCTCTAATATTTATAGACTCATTTCTATTTTCTTGAGTCAACACAAGCAGAATTGTTTTCTGGGGCTAATGATTATGCTTTATTTCATCAGGTTACTATAACAGCAAGTCACCTAAACTAACTTTTCAAATATTGATTAAATTAGTGCATTTCAATACCCATTATGTATTTTTGGCATTACAGAGCTTGTGAATGTGTGGCATTTTCTTACTTTAATTTCAATTTAAACTTGAACTGACATAGTAAACCAGCAAATCAAGTCCTTATCTTGACTGGAACAATATGCCACTCATCTAAAATAACGAGTTTTTACCCCTCAGCCCCTAATGCATTTGTTTTCCTTTCATAATGACTTTGCTTAATATTTCCCACTGACTTAAACAATCTTCCCCTGAAAAATTAAGCAAACAAGCCAAAAGAATTTGAGACATATAGACCAAGAGCAAATTAGGATATTAGGATTTTTTTCTTCCTGATGATAGTTTTACCTGTTTTGCAAGGTAACCCCATATTTTTCAATTCAGTTAATTTCCATAAGCGTAACAACAGGAACTCAGTTAGTAGCCAAAAGATCCTTCAAGCGTTGGGACAGAACAGAAAAAGAAGTGAACAGATCCTTAACAAAAGGCATTTCAGCTTGCTTGCTGCACAAGAACTCTGTCAACAGAAGTATGTGTGAGAATCCCTGGGGCGAAAACAGCCTTCTGCAAGCACTGGCCAAATTATTCACAGAAAAAGACAGAAAAAAAAAAAAAAAAAAAGGAGAAGGAAGGAAAAAAATAAAAAGGGAGCGCGAGAGCGTGCTTCACAGGAAACCAGGCACTTCCAAAAATACAGCGTGACCTCATTCTTCACATTATGCCAGACTTTAACACTGTGCTTTGCTTTATCACCTGGAGCACCTGGAGTCAGGTTCCCAGTGCACACAGTGGAGTTTGGATGCTGTCAGGTTTTGAAAAGGTAGGCTGTGATATGCCTTTTGATGTCGTATACAGCCAGTACAAAGGAATACCAAAATTAGCTTTCCATGTCACTTGAAAATTCTAATTATTGTTTGCCTGTGTTTCTTCAAGACCTGCATTTGATGCCAGAGCTCCACAAGTCTTCCCTTTTATATATATTAATAGGATCATAGCTTCCAGAGAGACTTCTGCATACACTGCAAAGTGTAGCTATAGTGTAGTTTACTGGACATGTGAGTTTCTGAGTGTGATTATGAATCAGTTATTTGCAAATCTAGCCTGGAAAGGAAAAGGATGAATTGTCACTGGAAATACGGGGTGACAAGACTCTGAGTTATAGTTTAATTTTGGAAATGCTTTTCTATATTGCTTTTGATTAGAGCAAACGACAAAAATGGAAAAGCTGCAATACCCTTCTACTCATGTAATGGATCCTGCGTGCTAGTAGTAGTAGATTTAATCTTTCACCTTGAGATATCCAGGCACAGATATTTGGCACAGATGCTGCCAAATCTATGTCCCTTCTGACTCATTTCAGTGAGGGAGGGAGGATGCACTTAAATGCCGATTTCTTTTACACCTCATGCACCTGATCGCCTTTGCTGAAGTTAAACAGTATTTTAGTCATGAAAGAATTTGGCATATTTATGAATGAGTCACCCAGCAAATGAAGCCACATCTTGAGGCAACCATTCAGCAGGAATTACTTTATATGACACTTTAGTGAGTCTTGTCTCAACTTAGAAGTGTTTATTATCCCAGGACAGCTGTGCTACCAAGCCTGTCCTTTAGCTTTGCCATGTCTGTCCCCACCTCCACTGCGGAAGAAGCTCATTTTACATTGTCAAGGAGAGGAAAATATCCTCTCAAATGCAATAAACTACAATGATAAAGAGGCACTTTGCTAATTTAACTGTGCTTACATTCATGTTTGTCTTAGGTGCAACTGTTGGTCACAGATGTGCTGTTTTCCAACCACCATCTTAACTAATGCAGCTATGGCAGCAATTTATTTACAGATGGACCTACTTGCAATATATAGGAGGGAAAGGAATCATTTTGTGCTATTAGCTGAACCTGAGGTTGAGTTTAAATCCAGCCGAGGCACCAACATGCTGCCAGTCACGTTTTGGTCTAAAACAGCATTCTCAACAGCACTGTCATTGTCACCTTACCACCATGTGGGAACAGTGGTTTAATTGCAAATAAGGTGAGAAAATACCCTCTGTAATACAACTATTGCCATTTCTGAGAAATTAAATCCATGGGCAGTGCTTGGTCCTAGTTAGTTTATATACAGTGGGCATTGACCTGGCAAATCATTCTGCTATGTGAAGCCCGTCAATAGCATGGTTACGATCCTGAGAAAAATCAAACAGCAAGGATGTGTGAGCACCAGTAAAGGACTAGACATGGTTCTTCACACTTTGAAAAGTCTCATGCCTCTTGCATACCTGATTACATCCTCTCAAAAAAAGGTATAGAAAAGGACACGGGTATGAATGGGGAACTGAGGGCCTATGACTTTCAGCATGTCTCTGAGGACATGAATGAAGTATCTTAATCTCTTTCCTTCGGCCATTAGGCTTTTTTTAACATTGCATTCAATGTATTGCTTTTTTATTCCCTGTTCTGCCTCATGTATTTTGTCTTGCACTTATGAAATGCAGCATCAAGCTCCTGATGAGATGCAGGCCGGAGGTTGGTGGACTACATGCTTTTAGAAGGCAATTTTGGGTGATTTAAGATTACACTCTAAACTATTTGAGAAATTCAACCTGATGTGAAGTTTCTGAAAATCCTAATATTCGTAAGAAAGAAGGGGTGAAAGAGGTACTTGTGTGCATATGAGTTTATCTAAAATCTGTGGTATTAAATGAAAAGCAGAATTTTTTTTTATATATTGCCCTGGAATACCTTGGCTTAGTTTTATATGAATGGTGCAACCAACATGAAACAGGAAGAGTGGCCAGTCACACACAGACACTGTTCATAAACACAGGCCCCAAAATGAACCAACACCTAATAAATATTTTTAAAATAACACTGGATAAACCACATAGGGGAAAAAAAAAAATCTGTCTCCCTTTAGGTTGAGGATCTTGGCATTGGTAAGATCCCAGCTCTTCATCTAAGCAGCCAGTCCAAACCAAAGTCAGGAAACAGCCTTTCTGCAAGCAAAGACACACTGGTATGAGCTGCTTCTCCCTCCAGTTTAAATACTACCACTGTTTCTTCAGCCTGTAAAGTGAATTCCATTACATATGTTCATGGGATACTCAATGGACTGGTTAAAAATTAATCTTCATTTTGCACGAGATGGAAAGAGACTGGAAGAAGTGATTTTCTCATCTTGGAGGATATCTATGTTAATATGGATGGCTTAAGGGCCACATTCACATCTTTACTTTCTTTTTAAGCTCATAAAAGAGAAATGACATAAGACAACCACTTCTCACTCTACAAGTTAGGTAAATAGCAAGCAGCTTGGTTTTGTTTTTT